CTTTCCCTAGGTTGTTCAGGTTGGAAGCTTGCTGCATCTCTCTGTGCAGCTTTTGACATGATGGGGCCCTGGCCCTGATCCCAACCCTTTGGGTGCTGCTGAAATGGTTACGACATTTCCTGGTTTGACTTTATTGTTAATGTCAGTAGCAACAGAGGGCTTCTGGGGAGGCTGGAAAATATATTAAGAACAGAGACGGTGGATTCCACAAGCACCGCACAGCACTTGAAGACATATGTTATCCTGAAGAATGGGGTTGATTTAAAACAAATCAATTTAACTCATCATTTAAATTGATTTAAATCAAATAAATGAAATCGTTATTTAAACTGTTTTAAATCAAATCAATTTAAATCGTGATTTAAATCACTGGTCCGGAAGCCTTGATTTAATCATTGTTTCTTTACCAAAAGTGCATTCTTGTTGTTTGATATCCTCTATTCATTTAACTTCTTGAAACTTTGCACTTTTAGAGAGAGGTGACGACTTGACTGTGTTTACAAGCGTGTAGAGAGACATTTAAGAGGGCTAATCAGGTCTGTTATCTCTCAATCTCCATATACTGCTAATAACAAAGATGTTCTGTCTGGAGACATAAACCCACAGTTTGCGAACTGAAACTAAGCATCACAGAGATGCTTAATGGGATCTTCTAGACCAGCAGTTCCCAATCTGTGCTACGCGTACCACCAGTGGTACACAGACAACCTGTCAGTGGTACGCATTAACAGATTTATTATAATTACTTTATATGACAAAAATTTGCTGGTGATACTTAAGGTTGTATTGTTTTAAACTGGTGGTGTGCAATTTGTCAGAGTTTGGGAACCACTGTTCTAGACTGAGTCCCATTGGGTAGAGTGGTTTTCTTTTATCTTTACTAATCTATAATCTTAATACAGTCCATGGCCTGTTGTGACCTATTTATAAAACATTTCTAAAAAGGTTACATGAATATATTGTCTCAAATTGTATATAATTAGAAGTTGTAATCCCTATTCCATGATGATATTGTTGAGCTTTAACATACCTTGAATGAAAATGGTCTTTATATAGATTTTTTTTTTTAAAAAAACATCTTAACAAAAGAATCAAAAATACGATTCAATCAAAAAAATCTGATTTAAATAAATCTGTTTTTTTAATTTTAAAAAAATCATGAATTTTTATCCACCCTGTTATCCTGGAACACTTTATCGTTAACATTTATATTGTTATGGTGGCAGTTCAGAAATGCACCAGCTGGGATCAGGGCCTGTTGGGCCAGGCACTACATACACACACAAAAGCGTACAACTTTAAAAGATGGTTTTATTAGCCCCTGTTTTAAATGGCAGAGCAATGAGTTGCTCACCTGGAGAGTCACTGACAGAGCTGTGAGCTGCTCCTGCATCTCTTGAGTCTCAGTCATCAAGGGGCAGAGCTATGAAATACATTTGTGGATATACGTTACCACCCCAAGTTCCCCTTTCCCTTGGCTCTGTAACGACCCTGATCACTGGTGAAACAGGGCTCAGGGTCTGGGTTAATCATCAACTGGTGCAGTATGTGTAGCATCTGAAATATCAGGCAAGGTCACTGCACCAAATACAACATCCCCTCTGTTCCCAGCATGACCTGCCATCCTTTTAATGGGGAACAAAACCAGATCGGCTCCCACATCACCGTGGTATCTCTTGTGAACAGTGCCGAATCTCACATCACCCCAGCACAGAACAGGCAAGGGCATGCCAGGCTCCATCTCTGGTGCCACCAGGTTTTTCATGTGCCAACCCACAACTGATCGTGTAAGATAGTTGGGGAATTCACAGCTGTCACCATGGCAATGGGAAGAAGACACAACTCATCTTTCTCTGCAGAGGCAAGACAAGGAGCACCCTCTCTTACCTGGACGTAGTACGGGGTATATGACACACAGGTTGTGGTTCTGAAATGATGCAGCAGAGGGCAGCCGCAGTCACATGTGCACAAGCCACAAGCTTCTGAATGAGTCCCTGGGGCCCCTGAGCATCATTGCAGAATGGCCAGAATATTTCAGCTGTGTCCTGTAGCTGTGACAACCTCAGGAAAAGATTTTTATTCCTTCTGGGATAACAAACCAGTGAACAACGGCCTGGTACAAGCTGAGTGGGAAGCTGGATTCACTTTATTGAAACCCAAACCCTTAGCAACTACAGCCCCCAGCATGCAATGCTCCATTCTGGCCTTCCTACCTGCTGTTCAAAAACTACAGATCCCAGCATGCTCCTTTCCCCAGCTCTGATGCCCCTTTTCTCCCTTCATTGTCAGGACAGGGCTGGCATCTGCCCTAGGAATGACTGGAGACATGGAGTACAGATGGGGGCCCGCGTCTCATAATAGCTTGTTCTGCAAGAGTGGAAATGCCTTCTCCCTGCCCTTCTCTTTTCATGAATGAAAATGTTTGGGTTTTTTTTACAAAGGCTCAAAAACAGCCGAGTGCCTGGGGCAGCTGTGACACATGGGACAGCGGTAACTTCCAGCTGCCAATGTGCCCCTAGTGCAATTTTGCCAGCTGTGGGTTTTGTCCACCCTGGCTCCTAAGCTAACAACTGGGGCAGCTGCCCTGGTTACCCTTCCCTAGTTGCACTACTGGTTTTTTATAACTATAAAATGCTTCATTCAAGGTTTTTTTCGGGGGGGGGAATGAAAATGACTGCCAAGCTGGCTGCATTTGCTGCTTCCGGGGTCTTCCTTGGTGAGCGTGGGAGACAAAGTTAGAAGACAAGCTGAGTGGGTATATGCTTCAAATAGGCCAGGGATGAGGGATCATCATGCCAGGAAGAAGTGAAGGATAGGCACCCTGGGGAAAGTAGGAATTCATCTGTTTCTTGCTGGGAGTGGTTGTTCTGTGGAGATGTCATTGGAGATGGCATTTATTTTCCTAAAAGAGTGAAGCCACTGCAAGTAGCACCGAGACAACATGTAAAGCAGAGTCAGCATAGATACAAGATCAAGGCAGAAGGTATTGCCTTAACAGGGGTCTTTCTTCCCAGCCCGAGAACAGTGATGACTCCAGCTGGCATTGGTGGCAGAGATGGGCCTGCCTGAAACTTGAACTCCTCAGACCTTGGGTAAAACTGTAAGCAGGGAATGACAGAAAGGAGAATGGTTTTGGTTAATGGTCTCATTAATAGCTTACAGCCAGGAGAGGAGGACTAGGGTGCAGGTTATTGCCAAGACACCCTAAGGAGCAAGCATCTCCATCTAGCTTTCCCAAGTTTACCCAAAGCTCCTCATTCCCTCCCTCTCCCTCTCCAAAGCTCTGTTGGTTTTAAGTCCTTTCAACCATTTTTCACAAGTGGAGAGATACTGTGGTTCAGGAACACCCACACGATGCCAATTTAGTATTGTGGATAGAGGCTTGAGCCGGGGGGGCTTTGGTTTTTCTAGGAGGAACCCCTTCATAAATTGATACCAATCTCCAACAGTGGGCACATCTGCATGAGATGTTTACTGAGCAGTAGCCTAATAATGCTGTGCACTAGCATGCTAGGCAAAACTAGTGCTAATACACTACTGTGCAGTGTTATTAGGCTACTGTGCAGTAAATGTCACTTAAACCCCATGGGCTAGTGCTACAGTGCAGTAGAGCAAGTTACTGGGCAGTGATTTAGTACTAATTTAGTATTTAGTCCTGAGTACTGATTTAGTATTAATGCACCATAGTTACTGTGCATTGTTTACTACTTGAATAACCACCCAAGTACTAACCTTAATGCACAGTAACTATGGTGCATTTATGAACATGTAGACGTGCCCAGTGTGTGACATGAAAGTTGCCTCTTTCATGAGGGCTGCAGTCCTGGCCAGTCCAATGGACACCACCAAGCTGGGTCTGATGACTTCTCTCCCAGGTTTGCCATAAGTGATGGTGCTTTTCCTTTGACTCTAAGCCTGCTGAGAGATCTGATTAGGGGGCAACAGGGAGCACAGGGAGCTACAGAGCAGGAAACAAAGTACACACAAGCAGAAAGCCCAGCATCCAGCCAAGATGCTTGTTCTCAGACTCAAAGGGGGACATGGAGGTGGGCTCCTGGACTTAGAGAGTTCTCAGGGGCATTTCCCAGTGACACTGGCTCTTGTGTTATGCACACAGCAGCTTTCTGCAGTCTAGGAGCCAGAAAGATGAACCCTTTAGTGGGCCCTAGGCAAACAAACTCTTGGGTCCCTACTTAATACTGTATATTTATATTACTTTTCTCCACCCAATAATTATAATATGTAAAATAAGCACAACTGGGTCCCTTCTTCACTTAGGGCCCTAGACAAGTGCCTAGTTCGCCTATGCATTAATCGGGCCCTGCCAGGGGCAGAGAAAGGTTCTAGGCAAGCTCCTCCTGGATCACAGCTTGGTTTAATTTGGGGAGGGGGGGCTTCATCAGCTGTTGCCACTAGAGGGCTCTGGGTCTTGCTCAAAGAACAGAAGTTGCTCTTCCTTTTGCTCTGTATTTCCTCTGCTTGGCCTGCGCGGGGGTTGAGTTTCCTGGGTGAGACGGATGCAGCTGCAATTCCGGAAGCCTGAGCTGCTCCCCCACTTGTGCCAGGGAGACCTTCATTCGAGCCCCTCAGTGCCCAGCCAGGGGGGCTTTCTCTGCTGGCTGGATCCAGCACGCTGAGCACTGCCCGCGCCAGCTCCTGACTCAGACACCCCAGGGGATGGAGAGAGAAAGCGCTGGGGACCAGCAGGGCAGGGGCTGTCTGCACACGGGGCCCCTCTGCACCCAGTGCTGCTCTGCAGGGGCCTGCGAGACCCAGGGCCGCTGCCCTTATTGACATGCACAGGATTTAGCCCAGGATTGCCGGAGCCTGCTGACTGCAGGGAGGTGAATGGCCCAGGACCTGGACAGCGACCACAGGGGTAAGGGGTGGGGAAGGGGGAAGGGGACACGGAAGCAGAAAGAGGCCGAAAGGGGGTAGTCAGTGGGGAGAGATCCCCAGCTCCGTTCCCTGCAGCTCCCCTGGAGGAACAGGCTGAGTCCTGGAGACACGGTGAAGGGCAGAGTAAGGAGAAGCTAGTCCTGGCCCCTGTGGTCCCTGTGTAAGACCTGTCATGGGGATCCTCCAGGAAGGCTCCTTGGATTTTCTCTTTTCTAGCATTTACCTCAAAGATGCAGGAACTTGGAGAATTTAACATTGTTGCAATGGGTTTTGCCCTGGGGCTGGCTAGACCGCGTCCCTAACTTTATGCTATTAAATTGCATGGCAGGGGAAGAGCCAGACATGGGACCTGCAAGGCAGGCTCAGGGCAGGGTCCACTCAGCTCCACCCCTGCCCAGGACCAGGTCCAGACACTTCAGAGGCAGGAGTGGGATTACACACCATTGCCCACGAGGAGCTGCCTCATCCATCTAAGGGCAGGTCTCTCCTCGATCCAGTCACCAGGCAGCAAAAAGTTTCAGCCCCTTCCCAAAGACTCCCTGATTTCCTTAACCCTTCTGCTTAGAGTAGATTGAAGCCACACAATGCTGTAATGAGGCCCACACCTGCGCTAGGTAAGCTGACAGACCCAGCTTTTAGTGCTCCAAGGATGCAAAAAAACTCCTATCCATGGTACAACCACCGTGGGGCAACAGCAATCTGCCTGGTGCTAGCAAAGTTCAAAGCACCTTGTAGCTGCTGTAGGGGAGGGGGAGAAGGCAAAGCCCCACCTGGTATTGGCATAGGTTGGACATCTCCTGAGTGGAGCTGCAGCTGATTGAACATTTCCCCCCAACAGAACAGGTTTTACCCCAGTGGAAAAAGCTTTATACAGGGATGCATCCGATCCAACAAATGTTCGCATTGGGGGAAATCAATCCAGTTGGGCCCTCTGCTTTTCTCACTTTGAAAGGACTTGAGTTTGGAATGGAGCCTGGCTTATATTGCAGAAGCTTCATGTGACATTAAAAAACAAGACATTAAAATGAAATTGTTTTCAGGTGATTCAAATCCAAGTAATTTTTCATTCCAAACATGTTGTTCTGCAGGAAGGGTTGAAGCCATTGCCAGGCAGAAGGTGAAGAAGTTCAGACATCACAGGCTCTCCCATGAAACAGGGCTTCTGGTTCCTGCACAGTCAGGGGCCTCGTCCTGGGAGCTCCTGGGACTGAATCAGAGGCAGGTGTGGTGGCAGGTGCTGATGGCTTTCCATGAATTGTTTGCGCCTGTCACTCGGGAGCAGTAGGGATCCAGCAAGCCCTTCCCAGGGACGCCATGCAGGAGAACTATGAGACACTGATCTCTCTGGGTAAGGATTCACTGTCCTGCCATTTGGGAGTGGGGGGTCTGGAGAGGCTGGATTGGATGGTGAGCTGCTGAGATTTTGGTGGGAGGTGCAGGACAGCACAGAAAACCATCCTCTAGCATCCTGGGGAGGAGACAGAAACACACACACACACGCACACACTATTGCACACCTCACACACACCCCCACTCTGAAGGAGAGAGACACAGCCAAAGTGCTGACCTCTCCAAAGAGTCCTGCAAGGGCCTGTTGGGGCAGATCATATCCTGTTTCCCTCCCGGGGGAGAGGGTCTGACTTCACATGCCCCTCTGATGCTCAGCTCCTAAAGACCTCACCCCAGATGGTCCTCCAGACTCAAGTCCACCCTGTGTCTTCAGCACCTTTTCCTTACCATGCTCCTCACTGCCTTACCTAGGTCTTAAGGTGGCCAACCTCCATCTCACTGGTTTCCAACCAAATGACTCCATCTTCCTTCACAAACTCTTTTCACCTGTAGCCCTAACAAAGCTGGTGCCTTGATTTGTTGGCAGCTGGTTATCTAGTTAACTCGGCTATCCCTGAGTGAGGTCTATAGACCCATCATGGAGTGGAATGGTTGTCTGCACTATGCTTCCTGCGGGCCATGTCTAGCAGGTCCTTACCTCTGCCTAGGAGCTATCCAAATCAAAACTCTTCCTATTGTTGGTGGTTTTCTCATCAAACCATTTTGGCATGTGCTTTTGGAGCAAGGGCAGCTCAAGAGATTTGGGTGCTAGCCTGGGATGTGGGTGACCTCTTCAGCAGACTCTCTCGGGCAGCTTGGGCAAGACCCTTCATCTTTACAGAGCTTAGTTTCCCTATCAGGATGATGGCAGCTCAGTATGGATTAAACACAACACTATTTAGACACATTCAAGATGGTGAGGTGCTCAGGGAATTTACCATAAGCAAATCTGAAGATAATAGGAAAAGTTCCCGGGGGTCGTGTGGGGCTTGGAACTCGCTCGGCCTTACTGAGCCTCCTTCTTCTGCCCCGCGCTGCCTTCCCAAAGGGAGGCACAGCTGGGCGGGTGGTTGCCCCAGAGAGAAGAAAATCCCAGCCCAGGGTGCATCTAATTGCTGATTCATCCATTTCTTGTTAGCAGAAGAGATGGCCATCAGCCTGCCACGGATCACAGCGCTGGCTGAGTCCCACCGCAGGGGGCTGGTTTCAGGTAAGTCCTTGGAAATCAGAGATGTTAGGAGGTTTTCCAACAGGCTGCCCATGAGTCGGGGTTGGGGCTCTAATTTGGGAAGGCACCTTGCCAATTGAAGACACCTCTTGTAGTCAGCTGCCAGGCAAGGTCGGAGACACAGCTCCAGATCAGAGGCGCTCAGTGGCTCGGGCAGTTGTAAGTCAGTGTGAGTTTGTACTTAGTCTTGTTTCTTGAGTGGCTTCCCGGGTGAGTAACGGGGGCCTGGGCTACGTTTCAGCTAGCACTGCTCTGTTGATCAGATCATGAGCAGTTCTGGGAGAGGGAACAGGGGCTGTGCAGTCATATCCACCTTCAGCTGCGCTGTGCTCCCTCTGCTGTATCAGCACAGCTGTTGCTGCAGCTGCTGCTTTGGCGCAGGTCTGGGACTCTGGGGTGAATGCTGCTGCTCGTACCCCCACCCCCTTGCCTGCTGCACCCCCATGGCTCTGCCCCAGCTCCCCTTACCTGGCCCCAGAGGGATAGAGCTGGGCCAGCAAAAGCAGATACAGCCGGGGCTGCTGTATGACATTCCACTTAGGGAACTGGTTCCATTTATACCAACTTCCTGGCATTTTCCAAGGTAGCCTTAAATTTCAGAGCTTTGTCTTGGCATCCCTGAGGACTCCATGAAATGGGACTTTTATCCAGGTGACATCTCTGATCAGGACCTATTCACAAACACCATGGCTCGACTCTGACTAGCCACAATTGATTTCAGGGCTGCTTTTGAAGCCCTCTGGAATGCCCAAGAACATGCTCTAGATTTAGCTTCCTGCAAGCCTAGCATGGGCACTATTCTGCAAAAAAAAATAAAAAATAAAAAAATCCAGTTAAGCACAAGGAAGGTCTGAGGCTGAGATTTCCAAACACTCCAGCATGTCCTGCACTAAGCTACACCACGCAAAAACACTTGAGTGTGGAATAGGAGCATCTGCAGGGGATGACAGATGACAATCCCAAAAGTGAGTTAAGGAAAGGGAATTGAGCTCATGCTCTTTCGGCCATGCTGTTGCCACGACTGCGGCCCCTTTACTGCAGCTGCAGGGCAAACCTCATGGTTCCCATCCCAAGCAGGTCCTCCTTTCACTAACAATTCCCCTTTTCACTCATCTGCCACACTTCATTGGTGGGGAGATCCCTGGGGTGAGAGGCCTTGCAGGTCAGGTGTGATGTCTTTCACAGATGGGACACCTGAGAGTTTCCTGATGCATCTCCTGTGGATGGTCCTCCACCTTCTACAAAATCACTTGGATAAGCCCCAGCTAATCTCAGCTGTCTTTCTGACCTTCTTGGGCTTTAACCAGGCTTCTTCACACCTACTTATAGCCTACTCCTCTAGCCTAGCCTTATTTGATCAGCACTCCACTAGCCTCCATTGCTGAAACCCTTCTGTCCCTGACTTCTGAGGCCTTGCCTTTATATCCCTCTAAGGAGCATGGCCTCAGCCTGTTCACCTTCCTCTTAAAGGGTGCTTCCCCTTCTTCCTCATAAAGGGGCCTAGAGGGGTGCCCTGATGCATTTGTGTGTCTATGAGCAGGGTGTAAGCTGGGTTGTCCAATGAACATGGTAGAGTTGGGAATCATAGACCATGTGCTGAGTGAGTCCATATCTCTCGCTGTGGGTCCACGTAGCGTCTGGCTCAGGAAGGCCCAGATCTCAGTCAGATATTACTTTAATAGAGATAATAATAATTTCAGCCCAATGAAAAGCCCATTGCTCCCTGACCCTCCTCTTTTTTTTGTTCCATCAGCAGGATTTCCAATTTCTAAGCCTGACCTGCTCTCCTGGATGGACCGGGGGGATGAGCCGTGGGTCCCAGACCTCCAGGCCTCTGAGGGCACAGAGATCCCAAGAGATGCCAGCCCAGGTAACTGAGCAATAAAGCCAATTACAAAATGATTTGGGATTGGAATATTAGGCAGTAAACTGTTTGGGGCAGGGAATGTCTCTCACCATGTGTCCGTGCAGCACCTGACACAACAGGGCCCTGATCTCACTTGTCCCTGTAGGTTCCACTGAGCGGCACCCCCAGTACAGAGAACGAGCGTGATCTCTTCTACCCCATTGGGTTCGGCGTCTGTCAGGCCCCTGTCTCATGACTGTCGCCTGCCTTCTTTCCCCCAGCAGGCGATGGGTCAGCAAGTGAGAACGAGGAGGAGGAGGAAGCGGGGGAAACACTACAGGGAGCCTCTGGGAAAGCAGAACCCAGCGAGACATCCGCAGAGGACGAAGGGGAAGACACCCCCAGCCTTGAGCCGGAGGGGAAGGCACAGAGCCCTGTGGGGGAGACTCTGGCCGCATCCCCTCCCCAGCCCGGGGATCCCAGGCCACTGGGGTCTGAGAAGCCCTTCCGCTGTGCAGAGTGCGGGAAGAGCTTCAGCCAGCGCTCAAACCTGATCCGGCACCAGCGCCTGCATGCCAGCGACCGCCCCCACCGTTGCCCTGACTGTGACAAAAGCTTCAGTGACCCGGCTGGCCTGGCCAAGCACCAGAAGGCGCACGCAGCTGGGAAGCCCTTCCAGTGCGGAGACTGTGGCAAGGGCTTCAACTGGAGCTCGCACCTAGAGCGGCACCGGCGCATCCACACTGGGGAGCGCCCCTACACTTGCGCAGACTGTGGCAAGGGCTTCAGCGTCAGCTCCCACCTGGAGCGGCACCGGCGCGTGCACACGGGTGAGCGCCCCTACAAGTGTGAGGAGTGCGGCAAGCGCTTCACAGTCAGCTCCACACTGGCCCAGCACCGCCGCACACATGCCAGCGACCGGCCCCACCGCTGCCAGGACTGTGGCAAGGCCTTCAGCCTGGGCGCCACCCTTCTTGCCCACCAGCGCAAGCACCGGGGCGAGAAGCCCTTCCCCTGCCCTGACTGCGGGAAGAGCTTCGGCTTTGTCTCCCACCTGGAGCGGCACCGGCGCGTGCACACTGGGGAGCGCCCGTTCCAGTGTGCCGACTGCGGCAAGGCCTTCAGCCGCAGTTCCCACCTCTACCGGCACCGGCGCGTGCACACGGGCGAGAAGCCCCGACAGTGCCTCGACTGTGGCAAGAGCTTCCACCTCAGCGCTACAGGGCAGCTCCGGGCTGGCCGGGATCCCAACAAGTGTGCTGAGTGTGGGCGCCGCCGTCCCCCGCCACCTCCCCCACCCCTGCCACCGCCAGCTGAGCACGACCCACTGCCGCCGCCTGCGCTGGTTCCAGGCTGTGTGGACAAGCCGCACAAGTGTGCAGAGTGTGGGAAGGGCTTTGGGCAGAGTGCATCATTGGTGAAGCACCAGCGCACGCACACGGGGGAGCGCCCCTTCCAATGTGGGCAGTGTGGCAAACGCTTTGGCTGGTGTTCGGCACTCATCAAGCACCGGCGCATCCACACGGGTGAGCGCCCCTATGCCTGCGCTGACTGCGGCCGGGCTTTCAGTGTCAGCTCCCACTTGGACCGGCACCAGCGCACGCATGCTGGTGACCGCCCCCACCGCTGCCCCCAGTGTGGCAAGGGGTTCAGTGACCCCGCTGGCCTGGCCAAGCACCAGAAGGCACACGCAGCTGGGAAGCCCTTCCAGTGTGGGGACTGTGGCAAAGGCTTTGCCTGGAGCTCACATCTGGAGCGGCACCGGCGTGTGCATACAGGTGAGAAGCCCTACACCTGCACAGACTGTGGCAAGGGCTTCAGCGTCAGCTCCCACCTGGAGCGGCACCGGCGTGTACACACTGGGGAGAAGCCCTACAAGTGTGAGGAGTGTGGCAGGGCCTTCGCCGTCAGCTCAACGCTGGCCCAGCATCGCCGCACCCATGCCAGTGGCCGCCCCCACCGCTGCCAGGACTGTGGCAAGCGCTTCAGCGCCCTGGCCCAGCTCGTGGCCCACCAGCGGGCGCACCGGGGCGAGAAGCCCTACCCCTGTGCTGTGTGTGGCAAGAGCTTTGGCTTCGTATCCCACCTGGAACGGCACCGGCGCGTACACACTGGGGAGAAGCCCTACAAGTGCCCCGACTGTGGCAAGGCCTTCAGCCGCAGCTCCCACCGCAACCGCCACCAGCGTGCCCACACTGCTGCCGCCGACCGGCCACTGAAAGGAGCAGGAGGGACCGAGTTGGGGAAAGGTCCTGCTCCCTTGGACTCTGCCAAGTCCCCGCAGGGCCCGGCCCCTGCCACAGAGTCCTCCCTGTCCCTCCTGCCCACCTGGTGGGGGGGAGACGGGGAGAGGCGGAACAGCCAGCCCCCGGGCTGGCCAGAGGACACCATGCCCTATGCCAGACCTATCCCCCACACCAGTGGTGGGCTCCGGGGCTGGGGCATGAAGGCTTTCCCCCCACCAGATGTGCCGCCTACCCCATGGCGGCTGGGAGAGGGCAGCTCGGCCTGGGCCTCTGCACTGCCCCAGGAGGCCTGGTCCCAACCACCCCCAACCTCTTAATCTGCCCCCTACTCCTACCCAGAGCTGTGTGCTGAGGTCTAACAGCATTGACAGTCCCTGACCTTGAGCCTGGCCAGTCCAGCTGCTCTCCAGGGAGAGGACAGGTGGCAGGACCCGTTGCTCCCATCAGCCTGCCTGGGAAGTCATCTAGCCACAGGGGCCAGCGCCAATCTTGCCATCCCCATCCCCAGTCCTGCTCCTGCTACTCAAGCAGCTTGGTTGCTCCAGGGAGCCCCACCTGTCATGCAGAAGGGAGCTGGGAAGGGGGTGGATGAGAGAGCCCCTGGGGGTGAGAATCAGATGTGTGGGGAGGGTGGGGGAGCATCCGTGTGGTGTGGAGCAGAAGGGAAGAAACCGGGGTTCCCCCTGGAACCAGCAGATGGGGGGTCAAGGGGAGGACAGGGCTTGGGGAAGCCCATGGCGGGGATGAGCGGAGAGGAAGGAAGGGAACAATTGCTGCTTCCTCCTGGGCATTGGCTGAGAGAAGGCAACTGATGCCAGCACCAGTGTCTGAGCATTGCACATCCGGAATGCCTCCTTCCTCATCAGCTGTCAGAGGTGTCACATGTATACTGCTACCCTGGTGTCAGATTGATATCTTTCCCCGTCAGCCCCTTGCTCCTGGTATCAACCATGCTGTTCTCCCTGGTCTGGTGTTTGTAGTGTCCTGTTCTATCACCTCCACCGCTCCCAAGCTGCTGTCATGCGGATGCCCTTCCCCATCAATCTCCCTTTCCCCCAGCATCACATTTTCACTGTTCACCATTAACTCCAGTGACACCATTCAGCAAGTTATTATTAGAGTCACTAAGTAAGGGAGACATTTCAGAGGAGACTCCAGGACTTTTTCTGGCACTGACACAGTCCAGTCATGGAGGAAAATGCTTAAACAGGGTGGGAGGGGAAAGAAATTAAGACCTCTATCCCTTCAGTAGCATGGGAGACTGCCAAACATAAGATTGAAGCGATTTTGGGATATGGACAAATTTGCACTTAGGGGATGGGAACTCTTAACTCCCTGCATGTGTGAGAGGAGATCCTGGGGGTGGAAGCATTCGTTGCATCTGACAAATAGGCTGTTGCCTACAAAACATTATACCTATCTGCACAAGTTAGTCTCTAAGGTGCCTCCGTGGCCTATCTTCTGCCTGAAGGTGGACTATAGATTCCTCTGCTGCTTAACTGACTATACATAAAGAATAGGGGAGGGAAGGAAGGATCCCCAAATTTTTAGAAGAGAGATACCAGACTCTGTTACCTCCAGGCTCTAGGACAAGTGTAGGATCAGAAGAGAAGCCTGGCTCACCCATCACCATCCATCCCTACATCCTGCCCAAGGACAGAGACCCTGCCTGTCACACACACACACAGCCTGCTCACAGCAGGATCCCCCCCAAAGGGATAAGAAGCCTTAACTGAGTTCAAAGACACAACCCTGCTTGGGCCTGTGATAGAGCTACGGTGTTCTGTTGCCAGAACTGTGGTGTGATCCATTTCCAGTGAAAACGGACTCGGATTACCTGGGGATGGGCTATTGGCTTTTCTTACTGGATTTGAGCGTGTGCGTGGGTGTGCATTTTCTCTCTCCAATTGCCTTTCCTCTTAACTTCCCTAGGCTGCTACTCTGCAAGGTGACAGGACCCTTGAGAAGCAGAAGGCTGTGATATTGTCCCCTCCCACCCCTTTAAATCCAGCACCTTGAGGTGGGCTCCACATGTTTGGGGTGGGCACAACAGTTCTTTTATTTTAATTTGTACATTTCATGAGCTGTAATAAAGTAGCGCTTTCGATTCACAAACTGTCCGAGTCTGAAGTCCTCTTTTCTGAGAAAACACTAGTCGACATAGGCCACGAATGCAAGGAACCAGCGAGTAGGTCGAAACCTTTCATAGAATCATAGAAAATGAAGGTTGGAAGGGACCTCAGGAGTCCAACCCCCTGCTCAAAGCACTTGAGCTTTGAATTCAAATTTTATTTCATTTGAATTTGAGAATGAGAAATGTTTGATCCAGAAACAAGCATCTCCTTACTCCTGCCCAGACAATACTGCCCTTCTGTTATCATTCAGCCTTGGAGATCAGATGTCTTGTTGTTTAACTCTTCCGCAGGAAGAACTGAGGTCAGACTCGAGCTGTTTTGTTAGCTTGAATGCACAGTGTAACAATCAGTTTGAAAGACACTGACTCACCAGGGTGTTTCCCCACAGATGTTTTTTTTTTTTTAATTATTCCATGTGTACTCTTTAAATCCTTTTGGTTTTAATGGTTGCCAATATTTTAATAGAAAAGAGCAGCCCTAAGTCAGATCTTAGAACACAGGACTGGGAGGGGCGTCCTGGCTCATCAAGTCCAGCCCCTGTAGGCATTACCCAAAGAACCCCCCAGATCCCTATTTCAAACCCTCACAAACAACTACAAGGCACAGGACCCAAAACACCAGAGCAGCAAACTGCCCTGCCCTCTTGGGGAGTGGATGCATCTGTAGCCTGTTGACAAGTGGCACATGGGGCTACTGGACAAGGGTGCTAACATATAACCACTGTTGTGAGCACACACTCTGTCAGTCTGTGTCCACGTGAGAGTGTGCCCAGGCAAGTTTCTGCATGCCCATGTACACTGGAGAAGGGCCGGTGTGTGCACATGCATGTCTCTGCTAGCACGTGGAAATTGTTTACAGGCTTGCACCTTCCTGGGGGATCGCTTTGGCATGTGCTAGACTGGAGCTGGGCTGTTCTCAGTGGTGGCAGAACAAGGAGCAATGGTCTCAAGCTGCAGCAAGAGAAGTTTAGGTTAGATATTAAAAGAAACTTTCTCATTAGGAGGGTAGTACAGAAATGGAACAGGTTACCCAAAAAGGTTGTGAAATCTCCATCCTTGGAGGTTTTTATGACCCGGGGGGACAAAACTTTGGCTAGGATGATCTAGTTGGGAATGGTCCTGCTTTAAGCAGGGGGCTGGACTACGTGGCCTCCTGAGGTCCCTTCCAACCCTCATTTTCCATGATTCGAAGTTTGCAGGCACCTTTTCATGGGCTGTGAGCCTGTGTGTGGCAGCATATGTGGCTAGTGGATGCGTGTATGGTTGGTGGGCACTGGTGGACAGGCATGCACATGAACTTCACATGTCCTTGTGCTGGGGGTGAGGTGAGGCAGCTGGTGGGTTAGTGGGGACCTTTTCCAGGTGGTCACTCATTGCTGTCTGTGCTGATACCTCCTTCCTTCCCTCCTGTGTCCCATGGAACTGCCACTGCTGGATCTAGAAAGAAAGACAAGCCAAGAAGTGCTGGGAGGAGCGGGAGTTGGATTGGGAGTAGGAGCTGCAGCGAAGGAGACTTAGGCCTAGGTAGGTGGAGGAGGAAGAAGAGAAGATGGAGGGCTCATCACCAGGCCCACACAGCCATGGGCAGGATGGTAACACCTGCTTGCATGGGGACAGGGAGTGGTTTGGGGCACAGAACAGCTACAGGATGCAGGGAGCATCCCCAGCATTGACAGGAAGGGACAGTTGAAGTCAAGCAGAGTCCTGTTTGGCTTAGATTGCTTCATTTGGCAACCAGAGAAGCCACAACTTGAACCACCAGTAGGAGCCACTTGTAGCCTGACCCATGGAGGCTTCCTCCTGTTCCTAACACTTCTCCTGCTTTCCTTTGTCTTGCAGGGAAAGGAGGCAGCTGGACCCATCGTCCAAAGCTGGACCATCCACATCTGGCAGGACAAGATTTCCCCACATTTTTACTAATAACTGTGTATGTTAAAATTCAATCAGGCTCAGGACATCACTGGGGACACTGGCTTCAGTAGTACTTAAGTTGTAGAACAGATCATAGATGGAGAGTAATCAATTATATGGGAGTAAAGAGCATCTGGGACAAACCACATTGGGGTTAGTCCAAGAGAGAACATGTCCTTGTGATATTCTTCCATGACAAGAGAGCTGACTTCTTAGAGGAGTGCAAGGCTATGGGAATAAAACTATAGTGGCTTTGAAATTGTTTTAGCTGGTATTTTAAAGGACTCAAATTTAAAAGTTCTTAACTAGGAGCAAACAGACAAAGCAAACAAAACCAAGAGAGCAGACAAGACGAATGTGAGCAACTAAATCAAATGTGTAGAGGGAGGAGGAAGGATAGAATGGCAGTCAATATTAATATTAATTCATCTTTTAAGGTCTCGGGAGCAGTGGAAATGCCCATCGGTCTGTCACCCTGTATCTGTCCATCAAGGCTGAGAGTACGCAGGAACTGGATGGCCAATTACCACTCATTTTAGGTGGTTCTTAAAAAAAAATAATCCCAGTGTGCTGCCGTATCTTTTTTCCTTGGTGATCTTTTACCAGGGTGTTTTTACTCTTCCTGTTTTAGAGTGCTTTTGCCCTCATCCTTGAGGACACCCTTCCATCATCTGCAAGGTCCCTTCCAGCCCCTAACATCTGTGAATCTATGAATCTAAAGCACCGTTTCCATCTGACCATGAAAAATATTTGTTACTAGCCAATTGCCCATCATGAATGACAGATTTCAAAGGAGTGATTACATGGCTGGCCCCAAAGAGTGGCCCTGCCCCTGCCCATTCTGTTGTCCTTCCCTGCCAAACCACCCCCCACCCCCCCGGCCCTGCTGCTGCCCCTCACTCCCAACCCACTGACCCCAGCCCTGCCAATGCCCCTCACTCACCAACCTGCAGTACCTTGCCCCCCGGGCCCCAATGGTGGCCCTCACTCTCAACCCGTAGCGCCCCACCCACCGTCCCTGCCGGTGCCCCTCACTCCTGACCCACAGCCCCCTGGTGCTGCTAGTGCCCCCCACATTCCCAACCCACAGTCCCTCATCCCCACCCCAGTGCTCCTCACTTCCAACCCACAGGCCCCCAGCCCTGCTGCTGCCTCTCACTCCCAACTCACTGACCCCAGCCCTACCTGTGCCCCTCACTCACCAAACTGCAGTACCCTGGATGCTTATCTTGCTGTGATCCTTTGACCCTACCTAACTCCTGCCCCTGGGGCAGGGGGCTGGACCTGATGATCTCACGAGGTCCCTTCCAGCCCTAATGTCTATGAAATCTATTAAATCTACCCTTCCCCCCTGGGCCATGATGGTGCCCCTCACTCCCAACCTGCAGTCCCCCACCCCCTGTCCCTGCTGGTGCCCTTCATTACTGACCCACAGCCCCCTGGCACTGCCAGTGCCCTCCACATTCCCAACCCACAGTCCCCTGCCCCCCTCCCCCATGCCCCTCACTCCCGACCTGCAGCTCCCTGCCCCCCCAGTCCTGCCAGAGGGCCCCAGCTGTTCCCATCCTGCCCAGGCTGGAGCGTGGTGGCTTGGATTCATGCAGGTGGTGGTGGAACATGTCCAGCTCCAGCGCAGGCTGGAGGGAAGAGGAGGAGAGGCTTCTGGCACCTCTTGCCTTAGGATGAGAAGGGGGAGGCGATCAGAGGGAGCAGGGAGCACCTCATGGGTCTCTGTGCACCTCCACAGCTGCAGGCAGGTCTCTGTGTGCAGACAGACACGCAGACAGGCACACAGACAGACAGACTAAACCCTTTATTAAGATGCTTATAGCCAAGAAACTGGCCCAATATCTGAGCCATTCTGTCGTGCTGTTTCTAAATCCTGTTTCTCTTCCTACTTGTGATACAAACTGGACCCCACAAGCCCAAATGAAGCTTTATGTCTTTGCAAATATTTCAGAAATTCTCCTATATGTAACAAGATAAGAGGTTTCGGGGGTTGGGGGGGCTGCTCCCCCCCCCCCCCCCCCCCCCAGCTGAATACAAAAGACTAGAAGGGGTCAGATTTCCAGCTGGCACAAGTTTATGTCATGGCACTGAAGTCACTGGGGCCAACTCTTCAGCTGGTGCAACTCCCCAAGCTTCCATTAGTGGTGATGATTCACACCCCCAAAAACCCCCACCTTGTTGTTTAATAGCATTTTGAGAAGTCAAACCAGCAGGTCACATGGGATAAGGTCCATTTTACTTCCTAGCATAAATGTCACATGCCAGAAAGGCAAAACAGATGCCACAGAACATCTCTGGCTTCTGGTGACCAGTGTGATGTTTAGTCTTGGCATCTTCTACCAAAATCACTCTATGTCTTCAATTTAATCTCACCCCAGACTCAACGCTGTATCTGTGGACATACACCTCAAGACCTTCCCTCCTGCTACTTCTGCTTGTCTCTCTCCTCAGGGCGTCACTAATCTATTCCAAGAGAAAAGTGACAAGAACACGGCCAGTTGTACAAAATATAACACGGGCCAGTTGTACAAAATATAACCGGTATGCTTTACGCTGCATGCAGCACACGGAGCTACTCTGCCTGTCACTTCTGAGAAGGCCAAAGAAGGCAGCGGTCAGGATGAGCAGCCTAGTGAAAATGTTAAAAAATAATCAACTGGGCAGAGTGGAGCCCACAGCTCTGAGCAGAGCCCAACCCACTTGGGTTGGGGCAGTGATTCTGGGTGCTGCGTCAAGGTGGACCTGATGGGATTGCAATTTGAGCCTTCGGGAGCTAGTGCAATACTGACCAGACCCCAGCATTGCCAGGGCTTAAATATAAAATGACCATATTGGAAGCTCAAAATTATCCTGTTTGCTGCGGGGGGAAAAATCAGACACTGAAATATACGCCAACAAGTATGCACATAAGTCGTCTTATCACTTTCTAGCGCTCGCTGTGCCAGTGAATGGGTGAGATTTGGGTCAAAGCAGGTGAAGCATTTCTTTGAGGCAATGCCACCATCAGAAAGCGCGCCCAGCCAACCTGAACATCGGCTAAGACTCCCTGAGAGTC